AACGAGTTAGGTTAGGCAGGTAATCTTTTACTCTTTGCTATTGTACTCTTGATCTTGATCAGATTGCAGACTCTACTTGAGAAGGGACTTGACTGCAGCTGAGACAGTGCAATTAAAATTTCTATTTTGAGCTATCAGCATTCCTGGATATGAAAAATAAACTAAAATAGTAATAAAAAATAAAAGAATAACCCTCCTCCCAGGCAAATAATAATTAAAAAAAAGGTAAAAAGAAAAGAAAATAAACCAAATAACCACAGTAGAAACCTGCCTGCTCACCTTGAGATTTGCAGAAAGCTTTTGGGAACAAGAGCAAATGCAAACCCCCTCATTTATTTGGGATGAGCTTCCTGAGCTCTTGCAGGGTTTTTATGAAATCATGTTGAATTTGGTCTCTGCTGTGGTTTTGATAATGGGCTGTAAAAAAGAACAGGAGGGTGAATAAAAAAAACAAAGAAACACCACAACCGGCTGGCTGCCACAAACAAACACCACCCACGACATTTGTAAATACTCAGAGGTGAAGAGAAGCAGAGAGCAAACTGTCAGAAGCAGGCTTGGCTTGCAGCAGATGAGCAGGATGGGGCTGATGGCCTAATTGGTCCGAGAACCAGCCTCTGGATGCTCTACATGAAGGGGAGAGATGCCCCCTAATGGAAGATCGTAGAATAATCTTCTTTGTGAAATGATTTCTTCCTCAGTCTTAAAGGCTTGTGTATTCACTGAAGTGTGAGTCCATATTTCTCAGTACCTCTCTTCGGGGCCTGGAAAGAAAAAAGGCAACCACATCGTATCATTGCTGAGTCAGACCTCTTCCATACTGCTGGCCTTAGGTCTGCATCAGTCCCTGTTTTCCCTTCTACCCTTGCTCTGGGAAAGCTGGCCAAAGCCTCTTGAAGGGAAGAGACAGGTTGGAGTAGTAAACTTCTTATGAGGTATAGGAAAAGTCATTGTCCTTTAATATGCATGACACAAGTGTGGATGCTTATTGGGTCATATGTTGTAGAGGAGTCACAGTATGAAGCTGCAGTCTGATTTCTTGGGGGAGGGGGGGAGCTATGGTCCTGTGGGTTATATCCCTATAGCAGATATCGCTGGCTGATCCCAAATTTGGGATACTGGTGCAATGAGGAAGAGTCTTTGAATGTGGATGTCAGAAGTGGGAGGTGTGAACCTCCTTGTGGATCCTTGAAGTTTGAAGGGGCTCTCTGGGACATACTCAAAAAGAAGAGATTTTTTCTATCTTTTGTGTTATGAAGCAACATGAAGTTGATACATGGTCTGCTATGTTTTATCTTGCAAAAAAATTCTTTCACTCTGTGCATTACAACAGAAATATGATAGCATGCACATTACATCTTTCACTGAATATCAAGGCAACGCTCCGCATTACCAAGCAAGGATTCAGACACTTAGCAGAAGACTTCTAATCCTGCATTCAAGTGAAAGCTGATTTTTTTTTTCTCCAAGTTGTTTTCCTCCAGGCTGCCCAGTATATTTTACATTGCTGAGCAATATTGTGCATTTGCCATTCTGTGCTTTTCTGATTTTCTGCTCTTCCCTGTTGTCCTGTCACAATCCTTTATGGTGTCTAAGGAAGGAAGCTAAAATTTCTGGTTTTAGCCAAGTAATCTAGTGGAAGTTTTGCTTTCACTTCTCTTCAGAGCAGGACCTGCACACCTGCCTGCTGCCTTGCTCTAGCTGCCTCCACTATTAGTTTAATGAAGAACAGAAGCAAACAGGATCCTATATTCTCACTGTATCAGTGCAATACATTTGATGGCATAAACATTAATATTCCCACCTTCATTTATTTTTAAGGTTATGCTTTCCGTAATCATCAACACAAACAGCCAAAGGTGTATTAGATGAGCCAGGTGGATATATCATTTTCCAAGAAAAAACACATAAAAAATTTTTGGCTATGATTTTTTTTCACTGCACCATGGGCACATATCCAAAGTAAGATAGGAACAGATTGGAAAAGTAGTAGTGTTTTATTCACTGTCTGCATTTGATCTACGTGTGTGTCAGGATTCCAACATGGATTAGAGAACTTGAATTAGAAGTCTGGTGCCAATTTATGATTTCTCTTGTATCTGTAAGTTGCCATTTTATTAGATACTAAGGCTATGCTAAGCTTTTGGACAGTGGACAAGGGTCTTAAGGGAAGTGACAATGATGCTGTCACCTGCCTTAAGGCCCAGCAGCAGTGTAGTCTAAAGTAACCATCAGGTAAGTAGAATTTTGGCTGTCTCCCTTCCCTTCTTTTATTTTCATGCTCAGAAGCATGAAAAATTGGAAAGAGGAAACTATGAAGTTCTAAAGAATAATGCTACAGAGGAGTCTTTTAGGTTTTGTCACATATCAAAGACATCTGAGTCTTTGTTGGGGCTGTTCAGCCTGGAGAAGAGAAGGCTGCGTGGAGACCTCATAGCAGCCTTCCAGTATCTGAAGGGGGGCTATAGGGATGCTGGAGAGGGGCTCTTCATTAGGGACTGTAGTGACAGGACAACGGGTAACGGGTTCAAACTTAAACAGGGGAAGTTTAGATTGGGTATAAGGAGGAAATTCTTTCCTGTTAGGGTGGTGAGGCACTGGAATGGGTTGCCTGGGGAAGCTGTGAGTGCTCCATCCCTGGCAGTGTTCCAAGGCCAGGTTGGACAAAGCCTTGGGTGACATGGTCTAGAGTGAGGTTTCACTGCCCATGGCAGGGGGGTTGGAACTAGATGATCTTAAGGTCCTTTCCAACCCTAACTATTCTATGATGCTATGATTCTATGATTCTACATCTTTAAGAAATTCAGTATCATCTAAAAAAGAAGAATTATAGGTTTTAGTCTTGCATATCATGTCTTATTGTTCATTGAGTTAATACAGAGAGCAGGCATTGCGACTCTGTGCACAAAGTAAGGAATCAAAGTGAAATAGGGTAGATTTAGATGAGATCTGAGGAAGAAGTTCTTCCCTTTGAGGGTGGTGAGGCCCTGGCACAGATTGCCCAGAGCATCTGTGGCTGCCCCATCCCTGGCAGTGCTCAAGGCCGGGTTGGGTGGGGCTTTGAGCAATCTGGCCTAGTGGAAGGTGTCCCTGCCCATGGCAGGGGGCTGGAACTGTATGATCTTTTGCGGTCCCTTCCAACCCAAGCCATTCTGTGACTCTGTAGGTACATGTTCCTTTGAATTTTGAGCACACAGTCTCCACTGTGCAAATGCAAAGGTGAGCTGATATGCCCATGCATGTGGATGCTACTGTTCAAGTTGATCTCGCACTCATTCTGGCCTTCAGTTGTCAGTGCAGGATGCAAACATGTCCATAGGTCCTGTGCCATATATGACAATTCCCTATGGATGTCTCAGATTACACTAATATGTCTAAAGTGGCACTAGAGCAATAGACCCATGTCTCCTATTTTGTAAGTCGTGGAGCCTAGTGAGCAGTTCAGCTCATCCCATGTGCCACCAACTCTATTTGATTAATTGACTGATTTGTTCTCCAGGCTTCACTGACCACTTCAAGTAGACCTCCATTGACTATAATGGGAACCTACACACTCAGTACATGCAGCAACATCTATATTTAGACATGTATTTTAATCTATAAGATAATGCCCACCTTATATGACATGATGTATCAAATATTTATATTCCATTTCCCTTTCTAGACGCATAAGAAATTGCTGACAGATTTTTTCTGATCGTCTTCTTCAAACAGAGAACAAACATATGCAAGGTATAAAAAATCACAAGCTGGAGAGTTGGACAATGTCTGCAGCATCCTTTCAGGGCCTGAGTTTGGGTGGTGTGAAATTGTATGGTTGGCAAGAACTTGCATTATGCTAGCCCATCAGCAAGAAAGCTGTGGCATAAGGAAGTGCTATTTATTCTGAGACAGAGCATCTCAGTGCCTGTGAAAAATACTTGGCAGCAGCTCTTCGCCTTGCAAATTTTCACTTGAAAATATCACCAAAAACGATTCACTGTAATTTAGGAGATGAGTCCAGCATTTGGCTGTGTCCATACCACCCAATTAAATTGTATCAGGTCATGTTGCACAGCCTTGATCAGTTATATTTTAAAATTCTTAACATTGGTCCCTGGCATGCTACGTAGTGCTTACCCTGACAACTTCTAGGCTTGGTTTGGGTGTCAGTGCAGGCCATAGAGCATTCCCAAAAAAGCAACTCGGATGTAGTCACCTCATTTAGGAGCATAAGAGAATTTAATAGTGTGGAACTTTCCAGGTCCTGACTATTGGCAAGAGGACAAGACAATGTGACCTGGTCCTATTTAGTTTACCACTACAGATGTCACCTTTTTGTTCAGATTGCATGAGGAGGATGCCAAGACTGGTTTTGAGTGGTTGCCCATCCTTCCTAAGAGAGTGGAAATCAAGCACTGGTTTCTGCTCTTTTTAAGAACTGGAAAATTTCTCTGCATGGGCACAAGGCAGAGTTCAAAAGCAAATGATGCATTTGTAAAGACAGAACCTTTACTGCTGTGCCTCTGCAAGCCTACTGGTTCCTCATGTTTTTTCAGCACACCAGATGGGGAATGACCTCTGTGAATTTCTGTGATATTACTTCCTAATTCTTATTAGGGTGAAAATAATTGGGTGCCACCAGGGATTTGATCAGTTCAGAAGGTCTGCAAACTTTCTCTTACCTGGATCAGTTTTTTGGGGGCTCCATGTTGGAGTGAAGCAATAAGGCTCACATTGCCTGATAAGGTGCACTGATATCTGTAGACATTTATAGCATCTTCGTATTATTTCACCCAGAGCACTACAGCTTAGAGAGTGGCTCTAATTTTGGACTGCATTTAGGGGCCCTGGAGAATGATATAGGACTTTTTTGTAGGTTTCAGATCTTCTGAGTGATCTATGATTATGGTCTTGTTAACAATCCATGCACTGTATATTTGTCTAATGATAGGGTACATTTGGAAGAAAGATTATATATAATTTTGTTGCAGTTATTCTTACTTTCCTCCTAAATTTAGGATATCAAGAATGATCAGAGAGGAAGACCACACTCAATTTTCAGAGGAACCAACCCACATTCACACTGGAAGAAGAAAGAGCAATGCCAAAAAAACATAACATTTTGCAGCTCATGTTGTTAATCTCTGAAGTTAGAACATTCTTTGTCTATTTGTCACTCTGTGGACACTATTTCTGTTCACATAAGAAGTCAATTCAATTTTTAAACCCACAACAAAAGCGTCCTCAAAGTGTTAATTCATAAAGTGGTGTAATGCCATATCCACAGTGTTTTCTCCTTAATACCCTCCTCCAGGAGTGAAAACAAGAATGACAGGGGAAGGGAGAGGGAGAAGAAGATAAAAGGGAACAAATCTATTTTCTCAAAATAATACATGGAGGTGCTATTAACCTACTATTAGAAAGTTTACACAAGAACTCATGAGAATAAGCCTTATGTTCTTTCTCACAGCACAGAACATTATAAGGATGTGGATCCCACAAGAGGGGTCCTGTGGCGTGGATGATACCAAGAGAGAGACAAACCATGGCTAAACCTCAAACTTTTTCTCATCCTGCTGTGAATCTTGCTCTGACGTGCTGCAGTCCTCCAGGTTCCCATCCTTACTCTACTGTTTTCTTTCTGGTTTCCTGGTTTTTGACCTACCTTCTTGTCATGATCCTGGTCTCTGCTCTTTAAACTATGTATTTTATCATACCTCCAGTTGGAAATCTAAACTGTAAAGCAAAACTATCATTTTGGCCATCTCTGAATCAAGCTTCATTTTTTTAAGGCTTTACTTTCCTTATATAAAAGAAACTGCAGAAAAGGCTGGCCTGAGATCCAGTGTGTTTGGCAAGCCAGCTGGGATTGAATCAGAAAAAAAGTTGGTTTATCGAATCTACCACAAGTCAGCTATGGAAGAAAAAGAGGTGTCGTTCTCTCAACTATCTGAAGGGATATTTTCCATGAAATTATAGTCTGTCAGCATTAAAGTTTTCTAGCAATGATTTGATGGATGTACAGGGACAGGTCTTGGACTTAAAACTAACCTTGTAGAGAGCATGTAGAAAGACACTGACAGTGAATATCATAGCAACTTCTATCCCATGAAAATACGGCTGAACTTTGCAAAGAGAAAGGAATTGAAGTACAAAGAAGGGAAATAAAAAAAATATTTTCCGGATTAGCAAACACCTTGAATTTGTCATCTCCCCGCAATCTTTAATTGAGCAGTCTATAATATTTCCAGTTTCTTCTTATTTTCCCCTAAAGCTGGTAAGATTTGGAGAAATCTCCATCTCTGAATGTTTAGTCTTCTTAGTTTTGCACAGCTGGTTAGGAGACAGCAGTAGTGGTCCTTACTAATGAAGCCAGTACAACAGAGAGGTTGGATAGATACCCATTAAACCTGTCAGTTTAGGGAATAAGAAAGGAGCAAAAGTACCAGGCCCTGGCCCACTGTGGAAACAAGTCAATTATTTCAAACTATCCCTTCTGCCTGGAGAGCTGAAAAGTTGGCAGCTTGCTGTATCAAGTGGTAAATGCAAAGCAACATTTAAATCCAGTACCTAAAGGGGGCCTGCAAGAAATCTGGAGAGGGACTTTTTACAAGGACGTGTAGGGACAGGACAAGGGGGAATGGATTTAAACTGACAGAGAGGAGACTTAGATGAGATGTGAGGAAGAAGTTCTTCCCTGTGAGGGTGGTGAGGTCCTGGCACAGGTTGCCCAGAGAAGCTGAGGCTGCCCCATCCCTGGCAGTGTTCAAGGCCAGGTTGGATAGGGCTTTGAGAAACCTGGTCTAGTGGAAGGTGTCCCTCCCCATAGCAGGGGGTTGGAACTGGATGATCTTTAAGGTCCCCTCCAACCCAGACCATTCTGTGATTCTATGATTTCTATTCTGACCCACCAGGAGGGAAGGAGACAGATAGAATTACCTGCCTCTGCAGATAACAACATGTCTTCCAGCAGCTCAGGTGTATGAGGCAGTTAGTATTCACTGGTGGGCTATGCATCCAGTGATGCTATTCCTGTGTGAAAGTGGTACAGCGCTTAGCAACCTGAGTGGTATTCTTCATTGGGGGATTTGGATCTTACCCTATCTATTGCTTCATCAAAATGGCTCTTTTAGAAATGAAAACTCGTTGTCGAGAACAGATGCTGACAGTGCTGAACACTGTTCAACTGTATTAAGCACAGTTTTTGAGCTCTGCTCTCTGCTTTGATTCCTGATCCCTCACCAGGGAAGTAGCTGGATAGACCAAGCAAAGGTCAAGATGATCAGACAAACGGCAAGGATAAATGGACATCATATTGCAAGGAAGACCACAGCTCCATGCAGCTAATTTATGATGTAATGATTTTAAACAGTTAAGCAGTAAGATGCATGAGAACATGAAGTTAAGAAACAAGTATGGGTCTCAAATGTGTTTTTTTGGCGTTTAGCTGAAGATGTGGGTAAAAGGCTCCCATTCCAATTAACTAATGGCGTTGTCGTGCTACCATGTGTTTAAGGGTCTTGTATGTTAGCAGGTTGAAAGGCCTTAGTTTGAAATCTGCTTGAACAATCATGCAGATTGTCTCAGAACAATCTGAGAACTGTTGTGTTCTCAGAACAAGGTGGCTTTGGCTGTAGCTGCTCAAAACAGGAAGCAAAATGAAGCAACTCATATAATGTGATAAACTTCAGCCCTGCCTTCAGTCCAACCACATAAGCTGGGGATGGGTGGTGTGAAGTAGAGCTTTTCTAACCTTCGTATGTCAAAATATGAGCATCTTAAGATGAGCACATCTGATCAATGCTGCTGCTGACCACATCCTAGCCACTCCCTGAATAGCTATCTTCAGCAGATTGTGCTCAGGGCTTCCTGTGACACCACTGATAAACCAGCAGAGAGGCTGCCAGCTGCCTGCCCACCTCCTCCCTTTCACAAGGAGTCTACAGACACACATGGTGAGATCACAATGTTGGTGGGGTCCCCTTAAAAGCCTACCAGCTTCCCATAGCAGAAATAAGTTTATTTCTGCAGCCTTCATCCAACACAGCAAATGCTGTGTGAATCTCACAGTGCCAGGTTTATAACGTATTTGACAGAGATTTACTTGAGGTTTAAGAAATGGAGGAAGAATAGGACAGAGAATCAGCCCTGTGGTCCAATGAGCCTTGAATACTGCCATACAAAGATGACAGTGATCAAAGCAAGCAGCTGAGATATGGTGTGGGATCCCCCCAAAACTTTGCATCCAGTATTTGTGGTTATCATCGATCATTGGTAATCAAGTTGCTCTACATATCATGGAAAAGGCACACATGTGGTTAAGGTTGTGGGTTGGGTTGCAGGTTCTGGGCTCTCTCCTCAGCCTGCAGCCCATGAGCTTCCAATGGTGAAAAGTCCTTTGATCAGGCCTTGGCATTATGAAGGCGACAGGGGACTATCCCACACTTTATCTTAAAGGGAATGACTGGCCAGTTTTTGTTTCCCATTTAATGCCTTCCCGTGCATAGCAGAAAGATGCCACAAGATACCCCAACTTCAGTTGTCTGCCCTTCTGAGCTTCTACTGAGTAAGCAGCTCTGAACAGCTGTGGAGAGGAACTTTTCCACAATTAATTCAAGAAAGATATTTACAGATGTTCTCTAATGCACCTTTCTTGTCCAGACTTGAATTAAAACTCAGCTCTGAAGAAATATCACCTGCTAATTGGTTTTTTGAAAGGAACTCATCCAACTCATTTCCCAGGACTGGCCTTGCTGAGCTGACTTGAAATAAATAAATGATATATTGATGGGAATATAATCAATACAGCATGCCTGTAGGCAAAAGTACAGATTAGATGCTTTCCTTCCCACGTAATATATTCATAGCATTATCAGAAACAGCATATTTCCCAGGTGACTGCGAGGGCTGTAAAGAGGAGATAATTTTCTCCAGGGGCACTATTTTCTTGATGGTGTCTATCAACTGCTACTGCGTAGGCAATAACCAATTAACTGGCAGACGTAAATAGCTCTCAAATAACTTGCCTGTCAGTGTTTTTTGACTTATGCTGAATTCAGTGACTCTGTTCGCACCTTTGAAAAATGTAAGGACAGCAGAATAGAGGGAAGGTGTTCTCCTGGAAGGCAGACCATGTCTCCTCCACCCTTCAGTGAGGAGAGACTACTGATCATCTGAACAGCTGAGTCCAAGACACCACTGAGTTTACTGGGAAGGAACTAAGAGGGATGAAAATACCATAAGTGGTTGTTGATAGAACAAAACCAGAGCCTAGTGCCTGCTATCCCACTCTTTCTGAGGCCTAACTAGCTGGCTGATGCTGGAACTCAAAAACCAGTTCAGTATCCAAGCCATTCTTGTAAGGGTGCTTGACCAAATCTTGACTGCATGGAAGGATTATGTTTTTTATTGAGCTTTGTTTTCTTGTATAATATAGGCCATGCTGATGGACTGGTTCACCTTGACCTGGAAGATACAAGGTATTGAAGACCAAGAAGGAAAGGGAAGTAGTTTAAAAGGTTAGTAAGCACCAAAATAGGTTACTTAAAAACTGATTCTAGAGAGTTTCATCCTGAAAGAAAATCCCAACAAAACAGTGTAAGAATTCACAAAGAATCACAAATGTCATCTACTATGGAGGTTTCAATGCCAAGACCTTTGGTAAGTGAAAGAATGGTCTGGGTATTTTTATGTTTTAGATACTCAGATCTCTTTGGAAGAGATAGAACAAAGCCATACTACAAATGGAAAAAAGGATTGGTTTAGCTAGGAAGCTGCTGTAAATGTTTTTGTCTTAGATAACGTTTGTTCCCTCTTAGAATACTTGTCTTCTTTTCTTCTTGTATTTAAGAAAAAAACAGGGACTTATTTCTCTAAGAAGTAATCTTTCTGAACTAGCCAGGACATAATACATAAAAAAACAAAGCAAAAGAAAGTGGAATGGTTTGATAGGTTTCCAAAGCATGCTTCACCACAGAAAAGAATATTGAAGCACCTTGATTATCACTATATTCTTGAGACACTGTGGTTAAACCGAGGATATCAGTAGTCCTTATACAAGTGTACCAGTGTTTTATGACTACACTAGATATTCATGTTCCTGATTCCATGCTATTGATTTACTCTGATTTTGTGGTCACAGTGATCTCCTGGCCTTGAAAAGTACACAAGCTGGAGAAAACGCAGCACAGGGAGGAAAGAATACATAGAACTGGAGAAGCAAACATAGAGCAAGAAAGATGCTGCAGGAAACAAAG